CTGCGGAATCGATGATTTCTTACGCTCCGGAAAGTAAGACGCACCCCCGTGTTTGTGTCCGGTGTTAGACAGATCTGGTCACACAACCCTTCTGGATTACGAGTCCCCCCCTCAACTTTTGCTGTAATAAATAGGGAAATAAAGTACGTCTTATAATACGGAGAATACCGCGTTAATATTAACGAAGCAATTTGTTTACGAGCACGGATTTCGCGGAACGGGACAAATTATTGTTGGCTCGTAAACTCGGAGGCGAGGATTTCACAAAGGGTTGCTTGTTCGCCAGCGGATTTTGAGCCCCGACTGTGAAAAGCCGATTTCAAAGCTGAAAACTTAAAATTCGCCGATTTAAAAAGCAACGTTTTGCAAACTTCGCAATCAACCCAAGGTGTTGTGCTCCGTGTGTGTGAATTCACAGAGTTCATAGAAATTTAAATTTGCTTGGCACACTTAAAAAATGGAACCATTTGTAAAGCACGCATCTGTGACTCTTTTACCCTCACTTGGCGATATCGTCATTTTGGGATTTTTCAACCATGCTTCACCGTACTTAATTTGGAGCTTTTGTGACTGTAGGAATTACTCTTTGGTTCTTTCGGCAAAGTCACGTATCAAGAGAAAATAATAAATTAAATACTAGCATACGACGTTTCGATTGCAACACAAGCAATCATCATAAGGTATAAATGAAATAGAAACACAAATCTAGTATACTTAGAAATGTAATGTAATACAACACAGATAGTCGGATAACATAACAGTCAACACCCTACCTGGTTGATTACGTTCTTCCTGAGAATGCTAAATTTGAGAGAGAGATAAAACACAGAACCAGAGACATATAGACAGACATATAAGTAGAGACAGATATCACAGAGATACTGTATGAGCCGGTGTGAGTTCAGATGTAACTTTCCACTGACTTCACCTTTTGACCGGGTATCGAGCCTGCCTTCCACTGCGCCACCTCTGCCCCAAGATAAATGGCCTTCATTTATAGCCAGATAAGAGCTCTTTGATAAGCGAAGTTAACATTTTCAAGATGGATGTGTTTTTTTTTACATATTTACAGCAAAACAGCAAACACATTCCAACGTGTAAACAATCGCAAAGTCAGGGTTTGAAAGACGGGCAATAACACGAACGATAATTTAATTGAAAAATATTGTGGGTTTACTTTCTAACACACTGGTGCGCTGTACTAGTAACGAATTGGCACCGTTTGTTGACGTGTCGGGTGGTGGTGGGTTTAACGACACATTTATATTTACGCGATCTAACCACAGAAACCACTTATTGATAATATTGGTCGCGAAAGCCCACCTGTTAAACCAAGTATAATTGATTTGAAGCTTTCGTGACTGCAGGAATAACTCTTTGGTTCTTTCGGTAAAGTCACGTAGAAAGAAAATTAATTAAATAATAAAATACTACGTTTCGATTGCGACACAAGCAGTCGTTATCAGATAGAACTAAATGTGTTTTGGCTCTCTCTGCTTGTGTCTGTCTGTGTGTCTCCGTGTCTGTTTTGTGTCTCTGTGTTGTCTCTCTCTGCTTGTGTGTCTGTCTGTGTGTCTCCGTGTCTGTGTTTTGTCTCTCAAATGTAGTTCTACCTGATGACGACTGCTTGTGTTGCAATCGAAACGTCGTATTCTATTATTTAATTTATTTTCTTTCTACCTGACTTTACCGAAAGAACCAAACAGTAAGGATAATTGAGTTTGACTTTTGAATGGCTGAGTCCAAATCACCCTCGGTGCGCCCCATCTCGCTCGGTGGCTCTCTTTTTTTTTACGATCAGTGGAAACAAGAAGATGCTCGGTGTAGTCGGCACTTTGCTTCGTTCATCATTTCGTAATTTTTTTACTTTGCTTTATGTAAACCCCCACCTCTCGCTCACTTTCTCGCTCACTCTCCCGGTCACTCTCTCGGTCACTCTCTCGCTCACTCTCTCGCTCACTCTCTCGCTCACTCTCTCGCTCTCTCTCTCGCTCTCTCTCGATCTGCACGCAGCCTGTCTCGCAGTCCGACGGCCTCCGACGGGTAGCTCATATCAGCATGCAGAGCTCCCCGTCATCTGCCACCGAGCACACGGCCTCCTCCATCACCCACTGCTCCTTGAAGGCCGGCACGGCGTGGGTCAGCCGCGCATGGCGGAACTCCAGCCCACACACCCTGGCTCCGACCAGAGCGCGGAAGATGGCCAGGCTGCTGGCCGGACGTTTCCCCTCCAGGGCCACAAAGCCAAGCGAGATTTTAAGAGCGGCAAGCGCTAAAGAGGAAACCACAGGGGATGATCAGGCGTTGTAGACCCTGGGGGGGGGGGGGGGCTGCAGAGATGGCCTGGAGATGGCTGTGCTCAGCGTTACACCCCTCGGATGTGCGTGGGTTCTTCTCCGTGCACTCTGGGACTCCCTCCCACGTGCGGAGATACTCACTCTATGGCTTTGGCCAATTGTCTCGAGGCGCCGTGCGGCGTTCCTGGATCCAATACAGGGGGGCAGACTTTGCCGAACGCGGGGAAGTCGCATTTACCGTGTGGGAATTGGCGTTTTTATTTTTTGGGATGGACGCTACCAAGCCAAACCACGCACCAACGTCACGTTCAACATTCACAAAGTGAACCAAACTGCACGAACCGGAGGAGAGAATACAAAACAGTCTTCGGCAAACGTCTGACAGTCCGTGGGGGTGGGGAGGGTTGACGGGCGTCCATCAGTGTCTTCTCATCACTTGCCCCAGCGGTCTGTTAGAGGCTGTACGGTGAATCTTTGTCTCGTCTATGGGTCCGAACGTGGCTGATGAGGCCGATCGAGGTTCGAGCACAAGCGGAGGACGGGTGGCCCTGGGCTACCGATTTGATCTGCGACCGCGCTGTAAAAGAATGTAAAACAATACAAACGCATAATGCGCATGCTCGTAATGTACGTTGACTCGGTAATTCCCCCCCCCCCCCACCACATCTACGCCTCGATATAAGGAACGAAACAGGTGGACTTCTCCACAAATCTGGCTGTCGCCTGATGAAGCTAGCTGTAATTACTGGCGAAACGTCGTACTCAGATTGTAAATGTTGTGGCTTGGCTCTCCAACACACCGGCGTGCTGTACTAGTGACGAATTGGCCACGTTCTGTTTACGTGACAACCCTTACTAGTTGGCTGTGTCGGGTGGTGGCGGGTTTTAACGACACATTTATATATTTACACGATCTAACCCAAAAAACCTCCATTATGACCAATACGCAAGTCAGAAATATGAATGCCAATCTACAATCGTGTTTCGACTCGAATCGCAGCCACGGATTGCAACAATTCATAGACGAACCATTGCAATTCCCTCGCGGATGGGCAGACGTAGAGGTTGATGATTGCTGCCAAACCATCGACTCAGCACTGAAAGGGAGTTTGTGCCTCAACCCAGTAGTGCCACCTGTTGGCCAGTAACAATAACGCTGGATTATGCCCGCCGCGTATGAATACGGGTGATCGCCTCTGTGTCACAGAGGTCGCAACCGGGTACCCGATACCCGTACACTACCCGATACCCGGCTACCCGTACCCGGCCGGGTACGGGTACCCATTTGCGACCCTGGTGCGGCCGGGTACGGGTAGGCCGTGAGTCACTGGTGAGTCACCGTTTGTCACTCATTTCGGGTAGGGTACGAGTACGGGTAGGGAACGGGTAACCGTATCCGGCCGAGTACGGGTACCCATTTGCGACCCTGGTGCGGCCGGGTACGGGTAAGGAATCAAACCCCATTGCTCCCATTTCGCTTCGTGGGCACGTTGAGCGATTCATCGGTTCATCAAAGCCTCACCTCTTCTCTTCCTCTTCCCTCCCCATACCCTTTCCTATCAACCTACGCACCCCTTCCCTCCATTGTTGGTCACCCATTCCTCCCTGCCATTTAAAACAAATATTTTTGTTTATCCAATCTCTGGTCTAACACTGCTGAGACTAGGCCATAAAGAAGGCTGTCTCTGGCGTAGGCCAATCAGTTTCAAAGACAAAGTCTATATAATCAGAGCGTGTTTGTTTGCATGTTATGTCGCAATTATGTGTGTTTAATGCAGACTTTATGCCTTTGCAAAATATATTTATTTGGTGTTTGAACATCTTAACACCTCCTGTTTTATTGGCAGAAAGGGGGGAAAAAATTCCGTCTCGCGCCACGACGCCTGCAGCACAATCGGAATGTAAGCGTGAGGAAAAACATCAAACAGAAGGAGCATGAAAACAATTGTAGATCTTCGATGCGTTGTCAGGCCCTACCCGCCATTGGTGGAGCCAGGATTTCCAGGTGGGGGGGGGGGGAAACCCCTCCAGCAATGAAAAATGATAGAAGAGTTGTTCGTAAGTAAGGAGTTGTTAGTAAGTAAGGAGTTGTTAGGAAGTAAGGACTTGTCCCTTGATTTTTATTCGACGCGTGTGCGGCGATGGCGAATTCGAACCGCGTTGTGTGATCGGCATCGCGCTATGAAGGTGAATGCCTTCAGCGAAGTCGTGTGCTGTATAAGCAACTGCGCACAATTCTGTGAGTCACTTATAACTGCTTTGCCGTTACTTATTGCCAATTATGGACTCGGACTATTGTCCTATCATCTCATAGAGTCCATGGCACGTAACAATATGCTACACAGTGGCAGTGGGGGTCGCAAAATGCCGATTTATTACTAATATTACTAATAAACCCCAATGATCCCATCGAAATGAGGGATCATTGGGGGGGCACGTGCCACCCCACCCCCCACTGACTCTGCCAGTGCTACCCGCGCGTGTCGTTCGGCACGATGTCTGACGTTTCACTCCAAGTTCCACGACCTTCCTCGGGAACTGCTCGTGCCAAACAGCATGCGGTACAAACCCGGCAGCGCATCGGAGCGCTGTGCAGCGCAACACCGAACACCGCGGCGGCCGCGAAGACGAGAAAAACAATTCTTGCCGTGTGTTTCATTTCATCGGAGTGATGTGTGCTGTGCTTTCTTTTCTGTCTTTGAGGAGTGTGACCAGTCCCACATAGACGACGTCTCGGCAGACGACAACGGGCAAGACCTAGGGTGAGTGAGGCATCCCACCCCCCGCCCATCGACAGTCCAGCGCCGCACATCCAACTTGCCAGAGAGTTATAGGCGGATATGTGAACGGGTCAGATGTGTGAACGTCAATACACGGTGACAGTTACTGCGTGCGCATATACTGCGCTGGTTGTGGGCGGTTAATTGGTCAGGGCATGCATGTGAATGTGCCACGGTCGGATATGCGACGTACTGTATTAAAACTAACACGTAGGATTTCGCGACCAATATTATTCATAATCAACGTTTTTGGGTTTAGATCGCGTTATTTATAAATGTGTCGTAACCCTCCACCACCCGACACGGCCAATCAGCAAAAAAAAAGTGTCACGTTGACAAAAGACAAATAGTTCACTGCTTTAGCCCACCGGTGTGTTGAAGCGTGAAACCACAACATTTACAATTTGAGTAGTACGACGTTTCGCTGGTAATTGCATCCAGCATCATGATGATGCTGGGCTAAAGCAGTGAACTATTTGTCTTTTGTCAACGTGACACTTTTTTACTGATTGGCCATGTCGGGTGGTGGAGGGTTATGACACATTTATAAATAACGCGATCTAAACCCAAAAACGTTGATTATGTATTAAAACTATGAACTATTTTTTTATTTTACCAGATGAGGCCCATTGAGCTATAAGTTGTTTTTTAGAAGCGACTTATCCACAAATGATAGCTCACCGAAGCGTGTCAATGTATAGCAGCCAAATACTCTCGACACTTGATGTTGATTCTCAACGTGGAGGGGGAATCCGGAGGACCCGGAGAAAAATCCACGCGACCACGGGGAGAGAAAACACGCAAACTCCACACGTACAGGCGTTAGGTCGGGATGGAACCCACGACCTCCTGCATACGAGGCAAGGTAGTTAACATCTCGCCACCGTGACGCCTTGTTCCAGCTGCCCGGCGGAGCATGCCCGAACTTCCGCTGCCGATTGGCCACCTGGGCCTTGGCGAAAGCCTCTCAACGAAGCGTAAACGTCCGGCGCGTAGTGATGCACCCGTGCACCACAATTCAGCTCGACGTGTGACGCCAGGCAGTCGAATCGTGACCCACAATCTCAGCAGCGCCAGCTCGGGCCAGTGAGCCGCTCTGCCACCTCAAACAGTGTGAATCCATAAAAGTGTCTCAGTTGCGGCCACATTTTAAAACGCTGCGGCATTTATTATGTGTGTAGGATTTTATATCTTTATTGCGGTAGTAGTGGGAATAATAATGCTAAACAACGAACATTTGTTGATGATTGGATGATGGCTCTTGGTGGTGGTGGTGATTTGGAGACGATGCAAAAGCGCAAGCTGTCTGGAACGCTCTTCCCTCCAACATGAGGAAGCCACTGGAGCGATGCACTTGTCAAATCTTGATTGAAAACTCATTCCTTTAGAACTGCATTTTTGCGTTTAGTTTGTTGGTCTTTCCCCCGCACAACCTATTAGCATGGTTGGTTACGTACGGTGCAAAACAAGTTCAGCATACATATATACAGGGTGCTTCAAAAAATGTTAACACTTATATGGGACGATCTTTTGTAATGGTAAAAATGAACGGCTAATGCTACACTTTAACACGATAACAAAAGTATTTAAATAGCTTCATAAAGTCAAAGGGTCTCCACTTTTTCGTCATCATTGTCAACGCACGCCTGGAATCTTCTCCAGGTGGTCTCCAGAGCCCGGAGGTACACTGTTTGCGGCGTTGTTGCAAATTCTCGGAAGTGTTCACATTTTTTTGAAGCACCCAGTACATTCGAGGGGGTTCACCCCTATTCGGAAAAACACAGCGCTCTGACAAAATGTCTTTTTGCTACATTATGGCCCGCGATGTAAATGCCGGTATTATTATTCACACTTACTACCATTGACGGTTGCCGGATGTTAACGATGGAAATGAGAGTGACGGTGGTGACGATGGTGACGACGGTGATCCTTCCCGCCGGCAGGACGTACAACTTTGCGACGGACGGGTTCTGCACGGCGAGTGGCAGCGGCGGGGGGCTCTGCGTGGCCACGGGCGTGCGCGGCGGGAGCGAGTGGATGAGAAAGCTCGCCTTCCGCTACCGGCACATCAAGGAGATTTACAACACCTACAAGAACAACCTGCCAGGCGCGCACGCTCGCTCGCTCACCGCCGCGCTACCGCTCACCACGCGCGCAAACAGACCGTCGCACCTCTGAGTCGCGCGGTTTAGAATCGGAATTGTATATGCTTGAATAATCCGGTATGCTATACAGCTCTTTTTTCACAGGTGTTGAGTAGACATCTGTGAACCTCTACTGGTTGGCTACGTACGGCGTGAAATAAGTTCAACATACATACACAAATTTTTTTTTTAAGCTTTCGTGACTACAGGGATTCATATTCTTGGTTCTTTCGGTATATTGTTTTATATTTTTATTATTTTTATTATTTTATTATTTCCCTTCTACGTGGCTTTACCGAAAGAACCAAGAATATACATACACTAAGTTTGGTTTCTCACTTAATTTGACTTATTGCAGCTCTGAGAATTAGGATTTTTGTTCAGTTTTTTTTATACCTTGCACGAGGCTTGTGAAATGTGTGTCCTTGGTGTGTTCTCCCTCGCCGACTGAGTGGAGCCGCCTCGACACAAGACTCGGCCTCGTAGGATCATTCTTATCCAGTCAAACATCTCCTCCTCCTCTGTGTTACTCTCCACGCACGGCACTGCCTCCGGCATTGCTCACAGATTTCTCTTTGCGGCGTGTGGCGACGCACGCCCGCATGCACTATTTAAACGTTATTTTACGGCTATAAATTTCTATGCGATAAGCCACTTCATTGAGCTATCACTTGTGGCCAGGTCGCTTCTGAAAAAGAAGCTAATAGCTCAGTGGGCTTTACCTGGTACGAAAAGAAAAATTAGTTTTATGTGTATATATTTAAAAGATGTTTACCTTTCCTATACTTTGCACTCCTATTCTGTTCTTGTATAATTTGTTCTGACGTTTTGACCTGCCCATACTGGACAGAGCTTTGCAGCTCATCGGATTCCTCCAGTAGAAATAAATATTCCGAATCCCGATTTTGATTAACGTCGAATTATGCTTCGCTTGCTCCTGCTGCAGGTCTGCTTGGGCCGGTGAAGGGCGAGTCGTGGCTGCAGCTGCTGCCCGAAATCGAGAACCTCACCGAGTCGTGGCTCATGCTGGCCCACAAGTGCCTGTCGCTCATCCACTCCAGGTGTGCGCACAGTCACAGCGATGCTCCCAGCCGCTCGTTGCATCCCCCGGCGCCTCTGCGAGCGGTTTTAAAATCTGTCGTCGTTGTTGTGATGGAAACTGTGGTTCTACACTTGTGAGTGTAGTTTGTTTTATTTTTATTATGTACGTCGCTTTGAGATAAAACCAAAAACTATTTTTATTTCACCAGGTAAGGCCCATTTGTTTATTTATTTCACCATGATATCTCAATGACGTGGATTATCACGCGGAAATTTATAGCAGCCAAATACTCTAAACGCGAGCTTCTAAATGTGGAGGGGAAAATTGGAGGAGCCCGAGAAAATCCACGCGACCACGGGGAGAACATGCATACTCCAAATATACGGCAGGCGTCAGCTTGGTAATAATGACTGAAAACAGCCCCCGTGTAGCCTTTAACAGATTATTGGAGGACGTTTCTGTGAGCGAGCACACGTGAAGGCCGGCACGGTGCACGAGGGGGTGGGTGGCCAGCACCACGCCCGGCCGCTTTTCTCTCCCTCGTGGCGATGTTTACACACCGCACCAGCTCCTCATTTGAGTCCACCTAAGGGGAGGCCAACCTGCATCAGTTCAGATATGCGCTACTGTGATTGCTCGCGAGCTGGAATCGAACTCGTGTGGCCGGGTTCGTAGTGCAGCGCGCTAACCGCTACACTACCGCTCCCAATGCACGTGCACACACACACGCGTACAAAAAACTACGACACTAACTTTGGTTTCTTAATTAATTTGGCTTTTTGCAGCTCTGAGAATTAGGATTTTTTTTTTTTGCTCTTGAACCGGCGTGTGAAAAGGTTGATCCCTCGCTGACTCAGCCACCACAACACAAAGATCGGACTCACAGGATCATTCGTGTCCAGTCAAACATTTCCTCATCCCCCCCCCCACCTCTCTATCTGAGTGCTGCACCCACTTGAGAATGGGTATTAAGCAAAAGAAAAGGGTCAACAATGCCTAACGTCCAGCCTCTGGTTCAATCGCCAATAATCATCGGCCGTGATCAATCCACTGCTGGATGAAGGCCTCCCCCACAAGTCGTCGCCATCCCCTGCGTGAAATAAAAACAACTTTTTTTTATTCTCAAAAAAATTAAGCATCCTCTGAAACGGACGTTGAAGAAGCCCCAAAAAGGCAATGAATGCGATGGCTGTGACTTGGTCCTTGGTTGGAGGAGGAATTTACGGAGAAAGGGAACGAGCGTCAGAGGTCGCAAACAGGTTTTGATTCCTTACCCGTACCCGTACACACCAGGGTTGCAAACGGGTACCCGTACCCGGCCGGGTACGGGTACCCGTACGCTACCCGTACCCGTACCCTACCCGAAATGAGTGACAAACGGTTACTCACCGGTGACTCACGGCCTACCCGTACCCGTACCCGTACCCGGCCGCACCAGGGTCGCAAACGGGTACCCGTACCCGGCCGGGTACGGGTAGCCGGGTATCGGGTAGGGTACGGGTACCCGGTTGCGACCTCAGACGAGGGTCGTGTGCTTGTCGCGGGCCGCAGAAGTAGCAGCGAGAACGTTCTGGTGACGACAACGCAGCTCATCCCGGCGCTGTCCAAGGTGCTGCTCTACGGCTTCGGAGAGGTGTTCCCCATCAACAACATCTTCAGTGCCACCAAGATGGGTAAGGCCCACGGAGCTACGTAGCTAATTTTTCAGAAGCGACCTGGCCACAAATGATAGCTCAACGAAGTGGCTTTTTACGTGGAAATACATAGCAGCCAAATACTCTAAAAGCATGATTATAAATTCGGAGGGAAAAACCAGAGGACCCGGAGAAAAATCCACACGAATATGGGTAGAACATGCAAACTCGAAATGAACAGGCAATGCATCTCCCCATTGAGTTCATGGAGAGCGTGAAAAGCCGCTGCAGGTTGCGATTCTTGGACGGCGCTTAAAGCAAGCCGCTTATTGTCCTCTCCCCTCCGCTATAGCTCCTCCACACAGTTAAACTAAGCCGCCTCATTCCCTATCCCTCGTCGCTTGTGAGACAGTGGCGCTTGCCCTGGGTACACAATTGTTGTGTCGTGCGTCCGCCCGTGTGCGTGCATACAGGAAAGGAGAGCTGCTTCGAGCGGATTGTGTCTCACTATGGACGGAAGGTGATTTACGTCGTCATCGGAGATGGAGTGGAGGAAGAGCAAGTGGCCAAAAAGGTAGGAACGCACAACGTGCAGTCTGCAGTGAGACCTATCCAAGCTTTACACTGGCATCGTGGAAATGTCACTGCGTGTGCCTCTCGTGTCAAGCAAAGATGAATGGCACGCTTGAAATACGGCGTCACATCGTGGATACTTGCTACCAGATTGATAAAGGCGATTCGAATTTACCGAGGATCTAAACGCGACCACGACCACGTCTCAAGGTGCCGTGGCACACGAACGATGGCGCGCATTCAGGGATCGGTGTGGGTAGAGGAGTATTATTACTTTTTTTTATAAAAGCCAAAGGTGGTCGCAACGCAGGGAAAGTTTACGGGGAATGCAGTGGTGGTGGCGGCAGGAGAGAGGGAGTAGCACGATAAGCGGGGCAGCGGTGGTTATACCCCCCCACGCCTGTAATCCGGCACTTTGGAGACGATGGGTGGATGGCATAAATCTCTTGAAACTCTTTCCCCGTGGGCGACGAGGAGCCATATCCTGGCTCGCCAGGGGAAGGCAGTACAGCAAAAATGTGCACACCTGTTCCGTCTGTATTGGATAGTCTCCCCCTCGCATGCGTAGGTTTTCTCCAGGCACTCCGGTTTACTCACACATGTAAACGCCAGTTAATTGGCTCATAACACACCTTAATATGTAGAGGACCGCAGAGCATGGCCAAATTGTTTGTCACCGGCTCATCGCGTGGCTGCCGCCTTCCCACTCGTCTGCAGTTCCTCGCGCTTGAGTCGTGCCGTCTCTACCAAAAAGAGTGAGCGAATACTGTGCATCGCGTTACAAGTTTCAACTATTATTATTATTACAATGAGCAAAGACTGACTGAAGGTTTCGACATGTTTTGGTTGCTTGGGCAGAGGGGGCTGGGTCGAGCAGTGAGTTTGAGTGAGCTGAGAAGTTCGTGCAGCACATGCAATGAGTAACCACTGCTTGTTTTTTTTTTCCATGGGTCTCGAATTCAGCTCCACATGCCTTTCTGGAAGATCTCCAGCCACTCGGATTTGGTGGCCCTGCACCAGGCCCTCGAAATGGACTATTTGTAGCGTGTGGACCAGGATTGAACTGCAAGTGGCAAGGGACCATTGGCTGCAGCATGTGGACACTCGTGGAGAGAGACTGAGAAATCCGCGTCCGGGAAACATGCGTGCCAGCCGGCACAAAAACCTGACTGTAGTTGATTTTATAAAGTGACTGCAGGTACAATTAAATCAAGGGGAGTTTCTAACTTTGTAGTTAGGGTATTTATTTAAAAGTAACTCATTTTAGACGCTTTACACATCTGGAATGTGGCGAGGGCATTTATGTTGTGTTTTGAACTGAATAAAATTGAATGATAAAATTTTGCACGGTGGACTGTGAATATTCATAAACGCTTTTACGAGATCATGTTCTGTTAAAAAAAATCCCGTAATCTGACGATACATCCTCACTTTTACATCAGCATAGCACACACTCTGTCAATTAAAATGTTTACAACTTGAAAAGTTAAATTCTGAGCAAGATATTAAGCAAAAGAATGAGAAAAAGGTTGTTAATAATCCACTTTCATTTGAATGCAAACTGCAGTACTTGAAAATAAATGCATAATTATGTAATAAAGCTTTTGAACTGTTGCTTACAATTTTTTTGTTTTGTTTAAACGCATTTGAAGTTACGTAAGACTGTGTTGTGTTGTTCTGGAATCATGCCACACTGTTCAAGAATCCAGCACTCGACATACGATAACCTGGGCACCAATGACAAAATGCATGTAAACGTCCAACAATAATCATGCAATGTATAACGCGCGCAGTATTTCACGAGACACACATCACCGTGACTCTTGTGGCACGGAACCCAGCTCGGTGTCGCTCGAAAGTCAGGCGAGCGATAGAGAGAGGGACGCGGGGGGGGCCTTTAAGGTTCCTCTTAGGAAGTGAAGTGTAGGTTGAACACTTCTGAAGATGCAGCGGGATGATGATAGCCACGTTGCAGACGATTGAGGGCAGCCACGGAGAAACGACGCTCGGCAGTGACCATGGTTCTGGTCGGTAAAGTCACGTAGGTTAAAAATTTCAATTAATAAAAGTAAAATAAAAATCACGACGTTTCTGAGGCAACACAAGCTTCCGTCTTCAGGTGGAACCATCACAGCAGGATTTCTGTATCCTCTTACTTGATACAGCAATCGTGCTGTGACGGTTCCACCTGAAGACGGAAGCTTGTGTTGCCTCCGAAACGTCGTGATTTTTATTTTATTTTATTAATTTAAATTTTTACCTACGTGACTTTACCGAAAAAACCTAAGAATATGAATCCTTGCAGTCACGAAAGCTTCAAATCTAGAATTATGGTTCTGGTCCTTGGAGGGAGGAGGGGGAGGGAGTTCTGAATCGCTGCTGCTGAGAGTTCCACCATGAGCCGCGGTGCACGGTGACGGGAGCGGCATTTGGCTCGGCAACGTTGGGACCCGACTCGGCCAGCCAGGCTGACGCAACCAATCCATGGTAGGTCCGGCTCAGCAGAGCCAGTGTACCCGAACTGTAGACGACACGACACCATACTCTATGGTTCTTTCGGGCAAAGTCACGTAGGTATAAAATAAAATAAATCACGACGTTTCGGGCGCAACGCAAGCGTCCGTCATCAGGTGGGAAAGCTGCGTGACTTTACCGAAAGAACCAAAGAGTATGGATTCCTGCAGTCGCGAAAGCTTCCGATCAAGATTGACACGACACTAGGCCACTGGCTCCCCCTTGGAGCCAGTGTCACCCCCTTACGGCCACCTCAGGCAGGTCGACAGGTAGACAGCACTCCCACCCCTGCCACCTTCGGTCCCATCCAGCCCCGGGCAGGAAGAAGAGGTTAAGAGGTTGCCACAGAACACCTCAGCTGGCGACAGATCTCAGCCATCGGCTCCTCACATTCTATTCAGTTTCGCATTCATACAGCGCCCTTTCTGAGGAAGCTGATGGAATTGATGGGAGGGACAGCGGTTTGGAATGGGGTAGTTAAGTCTCTCTCCCCGTTGCTTCGTCCACACCTTTCAGTCAGCTGCACCCACCACCACCACCCCGTTACTTTGCATGTGCAGCATTGGCTGCCCGGGGTTTGACCCACGTGACCTTTGCAGCAGCAGGAGGGGTGAGCGGCAACTTTAAAATGAAAAATGCAGCTTGGGTCGATCGGAGGGGCAGGGGGGGTAGCGCTGGGGATAAAAGCCAGCGAGAAACACTCGTGTTGCCTTCTCTCTTTGCCTGGAGTTCACGGAGGTGCTGGGGAGAAAGCTGTCTCGCTTGCAGTTTAAAGGGTTAGTGCCACGTGTGTAGGGCCCGATCAGCGCTATAACGGACGGTGTTATTCTCACCACTCAACCTCACTACTCGTGTTCCATGCGTATAACAGGCGTGGTGAGATGTAACAGCGTGGCTTGAGTGAAGGCTTCGGGGGACGCACAAGTTGTAGGAAAACTGAGAATTGGTTTGACCATTTTTGGCAATAAAAACAGGTGTTAAGTAAAAAAATATAGATACCTTTGCAAGGCGTCAAGTCTGCGTTAGCCACACATTCTTGTGTCAAAACATGCAAACAAAAATGCTCTGATAACAGTGAAACAATTATTTTTTGTTCCTGGGTAGTACGTGTTATTTCCTTATCGCCACCAAACTTTGCAGGGTTACCTTTTAAACCCCCGCGTACAACCTGGGCCACATGGTGAACCGTTTTTTTTTTTATAGATTTGAAGCTTTCGTGACTGCAAGGATTCATATTCTAAGGGTTTTTTCTCCTCCCACCCTCAACCAGTATATATACAAATACTGTTTCTTGGAATTTCTCTCACTTGATACAGCTATCGTGCTGTGACGGTTCCACCTGAAGACGGAAGCTTGTGTTGCCTCCGAAACGTCGTGATTTTTTTATTTTTACTTTTATTAATTTTAATTTTTTACCTACGTGACTACCAAAAAAACCTAAGAATATATATTTTTATATATGGGGGGTGGGGGGACCCGGAGCCCCCCAAACGGCACCCCCGCACGCTCCCAGGGACGTCACCATCAGTAACCCAGCACACATTCACCTGGCCCCACACATCTAATGGTTACATGATGACCCCCCCCCCCAAATCCTTCCTACTCATTAAGTTCATCTCACAATTGCCGTTGATTGCATCACCCAAATTAACCGATGGAGATTGTGTGATGCCGCAGGCCGCCCCACCTACGACCCCACCACCACCACCAAAGCGACCCCCCACACACACAAACAACAACAACCGCCATTCGTCACTAAGTGGCGGTGACGTCACCACGACGCTTGTGCCAGGCCATGTTCACCTTGAGGCCACGTGAAGTGTCGAACGCCCGCTGGCAGGAGGTCACGGGGCAGACCCAGGTGCCACGGGTCGACTGACTGAGATGACCACACAAACAAAGAACAAAACAAAGATCCCCCGTATAGCCTTAACAGACTGTAGGGGCAAGTGCTGTTAGCGAGCACCACACAAACACACACGCACACATTTATTCTAGATTTGAAGCTTTCGTGACTGCAAGGATTCATACTCTTAATTCTTTCGGTAAAGTCACGTAGGTAAAAAATGAAATTAAAATTAATAAAAATAAAACAATAAAAATCACGACGTTTCGGAGGCAACACAAGTCTCCGTCATCAGGTGGGACCGTCACAGCCAGATTTGCTGCATCAAGTGAAGGAGGAATTCAAGATGTAAGCTCTTATGTACCAGTTAAGGGGGGAGGGAGGGAGGGGAGGGGCTTATCAGAATGTGGTAGCCAATGAATGGAACGTATCGGGAGGGGGGAAGCGGGGCTAACAGAGGGACGGGGTACTCGTGGTCGTGGTCAACGACGTGTTTATGCGCAAGTCACTGTGGATGTACATAATAGAAAAGGAAAACGAAAATGCCTATGTTTATACCAGTGTTGGATGACAATAAAGAGAGTACTGTTAAACGTATGGGATGTAAATACTCGGTAAAGTAAAATAGTGCCTGTCAGATAAGATGGTCCAAAAATGTGTAATGAAATCTTTTTTGTATGGTTGATAACGTCTTTCCAATGATTACTAAGTTTGTACCCATCATCACGGTTGAATTTATGTCTGTGTTTGTATATCTGAATGGCTTCGTGTACAAACCTTTGATGGTAGCCAGAGGGCTTGCAGAGCACCTTAGTCTCGGAGAAATCAATCTCATGAGAGCCCACCGCGTTGTAGCAATGATCGGCAATGGCTGTGGTGACTGTTACATTGGGGAAACGAAACGTCATGTCTCTGATCGTGTCCGCGAGCACAAATCAGATTTTAAACACGGCAAAATTGAGTCTTCCACGAATAATCAGAGGTACTCGGAGGCCCGTGCATAAATTCCCACGGCAAGCCTTTGTGATGGGTGCCGCTGCAAAATTGGCATGACAAAGGCATGCACCGGCGCAGTCAAGCCGATCAGAAATTGTGATGGGGAGGCATGAGAATGGAGCTGATTCGAATATGTGCCGCGCATAAACGCGGGAAGGAGCGAAGAGTGCTGGTGGAGGCGGAGCCCTGGGACGGGGAGATAGGATAAAAATCGAAGGTAGCAAGGTAGAGAGGATCTCACTCCAAGAAGCCAGCGGTCAAGACGGCTCCCCGCTCTGCCCTCCGGACGTCCGTGCGACGGGTCGAGACGAGCAGCGAGGAAAACCCACGGGACGCTGAATACTTCGAACCGTGAGTAAGAAGGTGAAATAGTATCGTAAGCAGATAAATAGGGAATAGGTCCAGGGGTAGCAGAATAGGCCAGCCTCGTCGATTCATACTGATTTAGCAATAATTCCCAGGTAGCCGAGAATAAATCATTAATAGCTGATCGTGGCCTCGTGTGATCTCGCTGAGAAGTGTGAACGCTAGTGGTGCTGTGTACACAGTGGTTCGCCACGTGGGAGCGCTGCGCAGAGCGGCGCAAGGGAAGAGGTTGCGTTTGGAGTGCACGGAGCAGCGTGTGTGTGCGTGTGCGTACGTTCACTACGTGTCTGATACAGGTGCGCATTGATAACGTGGTTATTCGAGGTGGAGACGAGTGCCGCACAGGGCTGTAGACGGGCACACGCTCGCAGCGTGCGAGAGCTGTACGTAGCGGTGTAGAAAGGGGGAGCATGGCGTTTGATTGATGATGATGTGCGTACGTATGCTCGCAGCGTGGGAGCGCTGCGCGAGGCTGTATGAGTAGGGGGCGTCGCGTTCGAATGCCGGCGAAACCCTAGCGCAGGGGTCGGGAACCTTTTTGACTGGGAGAGCCATAAAAGCCAAATATTTCTAAATATATTTCATTGAGAGCCATATAATAAATTAAATATGTCTTACTTTTAATGCGACTTCTGGTGCTGCATGGTTTTGCTGATGGCCTTGTAGTCTGGTTCATACGTGGTGAGGTTAAGCTTCGTGCAGGCGTGACCCGTGAAATTTATCTTCAAAACTAATTTCTGTTTACTTTAAAATGACACAGTATTATTAAGCAATATCACAAGTATTTTAAAATCAGTTCCAAACTGATTTTTTTATTATTTTTTTTTCAACTCAAAATTGTCTGGGAGCCATATGCCGTCACTGGAAGAGCCATATATGGCTCGCGAGCCATAGGTTCCCGACCCCTGCCCTAGCGGGTATTAGGGCGGTGCGGTAACGCAAACGGAATAGGGGATGCAGGCGGGGGAGACCCCAGAGGCCAACGGCCCCCACAGTTTGTATCCCATGAATGCAACTGGGGCCGTTTATATGAAACTTAATTTGGAGCTTTCGTGACTGCAGGAATTAACCTTTGGGTCTTTCGGTAAAGTCACGTATAAAGATAAAATAATCATTCAGACGCTGTCGCCTCGACGGACCTGGTTTTCACCTGAGGACGGCTGCTTGCGTTGTGGCCGAAACGTCGTGAGAATAATTTTATTATGTTTTATTTTTATTATTTTATTATTTCCCTTCTACGTGACTTTACCGAAAGAACCAAGAAGATGAATCCCTGCAGTCACGAAAGTTTTAAATCAAAATAAAATAATAAATTAAATACTAGCATACGACGTTTCGATTGCAACACAAGCAATCGTCATCATCAAGTATAAATGAAATAGAAACACAAATCTAGTATACTTAGAAATGTAATGTTATACAACAGAGAGTCGGATAACATAACAGTCAACACCCTATTTGGTTGATTACGTTCAACCACATACGTTCAATCAGATAGGGTGTTGACTGTTATGTTATCCGACTCTCTATTTAATTACATTACATTTCTAAGTATACTAGATTTGTGTTTCTATTTAATTTATACCTGATGATGATTGCTTGTGTTGCAATCGAAACGTCGTATGCTAGCCGTTAATATCGTTTAGTGTAAAACTCTCTTGGTCGCAGCTGAAATTCCATCAATGTTACGTTGTTTTTATAGCTTTTGTTTTGGTGATTTCGAAACGTTTTTGCTTAAGCAATATTTGTTTGTTGTAGTAGAGTTAGCTTTAATTTAAATTCTCTTATGGTTGTTATTGTTTTACTTGCATCCCACTGGGATTTTTGCACACAGCGTTGATGTGCGGTGCTTTTATTTTATTTTACACGCTTTTATTTTATTTTACTGCAGGGATTCATCTTCTTGGTTCTTTCGGTAAAGTCACTTAGAAGGGAAATAATAAAATAACATTCAGACACTGTCTTTCCGACAGACCTGGTCTTCACCTGAGGACGGCTGCTTGCGTTGTGGCCGAAACGTCGTGAGAATTATTTTATAATTTTTTATTTTTATTATTTTATTATTTCCCTTCTACGTGACTTTACCGAAAGAACCAAGATCACTCCGTATTGTATCCTCAAAAAGGAAATCTTGTAACTCAATTTTTATCCACTTCCCAATGCGCTATCGACTGCAAACTTGAAATACCTACGTCATACTGATGACAACACTATATTCTATCATAATAAATAAAAAACATATATTTTAAAACTTTTTACACGCTTTTATTTAACTTACTCTGTGTGTTGTCAGTACCTTAAAATCTTGTAACTCAATTTCAACCGTCTTCCCAATGTCGTATCGACTGCTAACTTCGTAGAGGTACGTCACACTGATGACAGCACTATATTCTATCGTTAAAATATATATATTTTTAAACGATCATTTTTAGGGCTATAATTGTCCACGCTCAACTCACGTTGCCTGTAATCACCACGTGGTCCCTGACGTCACGGCAAGCCTTGGGGAGCCACGCCGAGGGGCGGGGGGTGTGGAAGGAGGGGGGCAGGGGGAGGGGCGAAGGGGGGAGGGGCGAAGGGGGAGGGGCGAAGGGGGAGGAGCGAAGGGGACAGGGGGAGGGGCGATGAGAGAAGGGGGGAGGGGCGAAGGGGAAGGGGCGGAGGGGGGAGGAGCGAAGGGGACAGGGGGAGGGGTGAAGGGGGAGGGGCGATGAGGGAAGGGGGGAGGGGCGAAGGGGGAGGGGCGAAGTGGGGAGGGGCGAAGTGGGGAGGAGCGAAGCGGACAGGGGGAGGGGTGATGAGGGAAGGGGGGAGGGGCCAATTCGGACAGAAACATTTCATTAAAGCGTGGTTTATTTTTTTAAGTATTTTTTTAAAGTATTTTTTAATATTTTATTCTGTAAGACTTTGCTGGGTTTTTTCCCCCTGGATTTTGCTGTTGTGCGTAGCCACTTTAAGATGTTTTCTTGTTCATGTTTATTTTTATTTGTTGCGGTTGCACCCGATTCAAGAGCCACTTGGCTCACAGGGCTGTACCAAATAAATGAACTGAACTGAATTAAATTAAATAGCGGGGAGGCGCGCGTATAATTTCGCCGTCTGTTTTAACATTGGGTGGCGAGCGCTGCTCTTCTTTGCTTAGCGCTCTGGGCGTGCTAAATTTAGTTTTCTCAAACTATTTCTCTCTGCTTCTTGGTTCTTTCGATAAAGTCACGTAGAAGGGAAATCATAAAATAATAAAATAATAAAACATAATAAAATAAAATATATTATTTCCCTTCTACGTGACTTTACCGAAAGAACCAAGAAGATGAATCCCTGCAGTCACGAAATTTACCAGGCTTATCGTAGGGCCATTCGATCTTCTTCTTTACCTGTGTCGCTTTTGGGTGCATTCATTGTCATGCTAATTCCTCTGCCCCAGCAGACCCACCCCTCTCTCTCTCTATTTAAGGCATCGACACAGAGGCATTGGGTCTCAGTGTGTCTCTCTTTTGCCTGTGTGTCTCCGTGTCTGTGTTTTTCTCTCTCTCCCAGATTTAGTTCTACCTGCTGACGGGTGCTTGTGGTGCAATCGAAACGTCGTACTCCATTATTTAATTTATTTTCTTTCTACGTCGCTTTACCGAAAGAACCAAAGAAGAATTCCAGCTGTCACGAGGGCTTCAAATCAAGTTTGAACCACCTCTACGGGGAAGGATGTAAGTTGATTTCTCTCTCTCTGTGTGTCTCTTTCAAATTCCACACTTCAAGTTTAGCAATCTTTGGAGATCGTAATCAACCAGGCTATGCGTTAACTGTGTGTCTCTCTCTGCTTGTGTGTCTCCGTGCCTGTGTTTTGTCTCTCTCTCTCTCAAATTTAGTTCTACCTGATGATGGGGGCTTTATATCGTTTAGTGTAAAACCCTCTTGGTCGCAGCTGAAATTGCAATCACTGTTACGTTGTTTTTATAGCTTTGTTTTGGTGATTTCGAAACGTTTTTTGGTTTAGCAATATTTGTTTGTTGTAGTATAGAGTTAGCTTTAATTTAAATTGTCTTATGGTTGTTATTGTTTAACTTGCATCCCACTGGGATTTTTGCACACAGCGTTGATGTGCGGTGCTTTTATTTTATTTTACACGCTTTTATTTAACTCCCTCCGTCTGATTTAAAGCTTTCGTCACTGCAGGGATTCATCTTCTTGGTTATTTCGGTAAAGTCACGTAGAAGGGAAATAATAAAATATTTGTTTCATATTCATTTTATTATTTCCCTTGGGGTGCGTCTACTTTGGCGAGCCGCTCGATGGCATCCTGAGATGCAAAGTGACGAAATGAAGTGCCTCCCACAAAAGATCTCTGTGGGCAGCTTGATGGGATATGTTTCGTAGTCTGGGACTCACGGCCACGCCCGCACTTGGGGTCACATGACTCACATCCCTCACCTTCTGCTCGTGAAGCTGGTGGCTCTTGTTGTTTCGCCGATTTCGGTTTGAGTGCCGTCCGCGTTCTTCGGGGAGAGGTCTATCTCGGGACCTTTGCTGCTGAGTCAGTCGTTTCTTTGCCCCACGCGTCCCACGATTCCGTTCCATCTGTAGAGTGGGTTGGTGCCCCGCTGCAGGGCTATTGGCTGCCGTTCGAATGCCGGCGAAACTCTAGCGGGTATTAGGGCGGTGCGGTAACGCAAACGGAATAGGGGTTGCAGGCGGGGGAGACCCCGGGGGCCAACGGCCCCCACAGTTTGTATCCCATTGAATGCAACTGGGGCCGTTTATATCGTTTGATGTAAAACTCTCTTGGTCGCAGCTGAAATTCCATCACTGTTACGTTGTTTTTAAAGCTTTGTTTTGGTGATTTCGAAACGTTTTTTGGTTTAGCAATATCTGTTTGTTGTGGTACAGAGTTAGCTTTAATTTAAATTGTCTTATGGTTGTTATTGTTTTACTTGCATCCCACTGGGATTTTTGCACGCAGCGTTGATGTGCGGTGCTTTTATTTCACACGCTTTTATTTAACTCACTCCGTCTGATTTAAAGCTTTCGTCACTGCAGGGATTCATCTTCTTGGTTCTTTCGGTAAAGTCACGTAGAAGGGAAATAATAAAATAACATTCAGACACTGTCTTTCCGACAGACCTGTTCTTCACCTGAGGACGGCTGCTTGCGTTGTGGCCGAAACGTCGTGAGAATTATTTTATTATGTTTTATTTTTATTATTTTATTATTTCCCTTCTACGTGACTTTACCGAAAGAACCAAGATCACTCCGTCTTGTATCCTCAAAAATGAACTCTTGTAACTCAATTTTTATCCACTTCCCAATGCGCTATCGACTGCAAACTTGAAATACCTACGTCATACTGATGACAACACGATATTCTATCATAATAAATCCAAAACATATTTTTAAAAACTTTTTACACGCTGTTATTTAACTTACTCTGTGTTGTCGTACCTTAAAATCTTGTAACTCAATGTCAACCGTCTTCCCAATGTCGTATCGACTGCTAACTTCGTAGAGGTACGTCATACTTATGACAATACTATATTCTATCATTAAAATAAAAATATATATTTTTAAACAATCTTTTTGACGACTATAATTGTCCACGCTCAACTCACGTTGCCTGTAAATCACCACGTGGTCCCTGACGTCACGGCAAGCCTTGGGGAGCCACGCCGAGGGGCGGGGGGTGTTGAAGGAGGGGGGCAGGGGGAGGGGCGAAGGGGGGAGGGGCGAAGTGGGGAGGAGCGAAGGGGACAGGGGGAGGGGCGAAGGGGGAGGGGCGATGAGGGAAGGGGGGAGGGGCCAACTCGGACAGGAACATTTCATGAAAGCGTGGTTTATTTATTTAAAGTATTTTTTTAAAAGTATTTTTTAATATTTTATTCTGTAAGACTTTGCTGGGTTTTCCCCCCTGGATTTTGCTGTTGTGCGTAGCCACTTTAAGATGTTTTCTTGTTCATGTTTTTTTATTTGTTGCGGTTGCACCCGATTCAAGAGCCACTTTGCTCACAGGGCTTTACCAAATAAATGAACTTAATTGAATTAAATTAAATAGCGGGGAGGCACGCGTATAATTTCGCCGTCTGTTTTAACATTGGGTGGCGAGCGCTGTTCATCTTTGCTTAGCGCTCTGGGCGTGCTAAATTTAGTTTTCTCAAACTATTTCTCTCTGCTTCTTGGTTCTTTCGGTAAAGTCACGTAGAAGGGAAATCATAAAATAATTAAACATAATAAAATAAAATATTATTTCCCTTCTACGTGACTTTAGCGAAAGAACCAAGAAGATGAATCCCTGAAGTCACGAAATTTACCAGGCTTATCGTAGGGCCATTCGATCTTCTTCTTTACCTGTGTCACTTTTGGGTGCATTCATTGTCATGCTAATTCCTCTGCCCCAGCAGACCCACCCCTCTCTCTCTCTATTTAAGGTATCGACACAGAGGCATTGGCTCTCTGTGTGTCTCTCTTTGCCTGTGTGTCTCCGTGTCTGTGTTTTTCTCTCTCTCCTAGATTTAGTTCTACCTGCTGACGGGTGCTTGTGGTGCAATCGAAACGTCGTACTCCATTATTGAATTTATTTTCTTTCTACGTCGCTTTATCGAAAGAACCAAAGAAGAATTCCAGCAGTCACGAGGGCTTCAAATCAAGTTTGAACCACCTCTACGGGGAAGGATGTAAGTTGATTTCTCTCTCTCTCTGTCTCTTTCAAATTTCACACTTCAAGTTTAGCAATCTTTGGAGATCGTAATCAACCAGGCTATGCGTTAACTGTGTCTCTCTCTGCTTGTGTGTCTCCGTGTCTGTGTTTTGTCTCTCTCTCTCAAATTTAGTTCTACCTGATGATGGGTGCTTTATATCGTTTGGTGTAAAACCCTCTTGGTCGCAGCTGAAATTGCAATCACTGTTACGTTGTTTTTATAGCTTTGTTTTGGTGATTTAGAAACGTTTTTTGGTTTAGCAATATTTGTTTGTTGTAGTATAGAGTTAGCTTTAATTTAAATTGTCTTATGGTTGTTATTGTTTTACTTGCATCCCACTGGGATGTTTGCACGCAGCGTTGATGTGCGGTGCTTTTATTTTATTTTACACGCTTTTATTTAACTCCCTCCGTCTGATTTAAAGCTTTCGTCACTGCAGGGATTCATCTTCTTGGTTCTTTCGGTAAAGTCACGTAGAAGGGAAATAATAAAATATTTATTTTATATTTATTTTATTATTTCCCTTGGGGTGCGTCTACTTTGGCGAGCCGCTCGATGGCATCCTGAGATGCAAAGTGACGAAATGAAGTGCCTCCCACAAAAGATCTCTGTGGGCAGCTTGATGGGATATGTTTCGTCGTCTGGGACTCACGGCCACGCCCGCACTTGGGGTCACATGACTCACATCCCTCACCTTCTGCTCGTGAAGCTGGTGGCTCTTGTTGTTTCGCCGATTTCGGTTTGAGTGCCGTCCGCGTTCTTCGGGGAGAGGTCTATCTCCGGACCTTTGCTGCTGAGTCAGTCGGTTCTTTGCCCCACGCGTCCCACGATTCCGTCCCATCTGTAGAGTGGGTTGGTGCCCCGCTGCAGGGCTATTGGCTGCCGTTCGAATGCCGGCGAAACCCTAGCGGGTATTAGGGCGGTGCGGTAACGCAAACGGAATAGGGGATGCAGGCGGGGGAGACCCCGGGGACCAACGGCCCCCACAGTTTGTATCCCATTGAATGCAACTGGGGCCGTTTATATCGTTTGGTGTAAAACTCTCTTGGTCGCAGCTGAAATTGCAATCACTGTTACGTTGTTTTTAAAGCTTTGTTTTGGTGATTTCGAACCGTTTTTGGTTTAGCAATATTTGTTTGTTGTAGTACAGAGTTAGCTTTAATTTAAATTGTCTTATGGTTGTTATTGTTTGACTTGCATCCCACTGGGATTTTTGCACGCAGCGTTGATGTGCGGTGCTTTTTTTATTTCACACGCTTTTATTTAACTAACTCCGTCTGTTGTAACCTCAAAAAGCAAATCTTGTAACTCAATTTTTATCCACTTCCCAATGCGCTATCGACTGCAAACTTGAAATACCTACGTCATACTGATGACAACACTATATTCTATCATAATAAATCCAAAACATATATTTTAAAACTTTTTACACGCTTTTATTTAACTTACTCTGTGTGTTGTCGTACCTTAAAATCTTGTAACTCAATTTCAACCGTCTTCCCAATGTCGTATCGACTGCTAACTTCGTAGAGGTACGTCATACTGATGACAATACTATATTCTATCATTAAAATAAAAATATATATTTTTTAAACAATCTTTTTGACGGCTATAATTGTCCACGCTCAACTCACGTTGCCTGTAAATCACCACGTGGTCCCTGACGTCACGGCGAGCCTTGGGGAGCCACGCCGAGGGGCGGGGGGTGTGGAAGGAGGGGGGGAGGGGCGAAGGGGGGAGGGGCGAAGGAGGAGGGGCGAAGGGGAGAGGGGGAGGGGTGAAGGGGGAGGGGCGATGAGGGAAGGGGGGAGGGGCCAACTCGGACAGGAACATTTCATTAAAGCGTGGTTTATTTTTTTAAAGTATTTTTTTTAAAGTATTTCTTTTTTTATTTTATTCTGTAAGACTTTGCTGGGGTTTTCCCCCCTGGATTTTGCTGTTGTGCGTAGCCACTTTAAGATGTTTTCTTGTTCATGTTTATTTTTATTTGTTGCGGTTGCACCCGATTCAAGAGCCACTTGGCTCACAGGGCTTTTCCAAATAAATGAACTGAATTAAATTAAATAGCAGGGAGGCGCGCGTATAATGTTGCCGTCTGTTTTAACATTGGGTGGCGAGCGCTGTTCATCTTTGCTTAGCGCTCTGGGCGTGCTAAATTTTGTTTTCTCAAACTATTTCTCTCTGCTTCTTGGTTCTTTCGGTAAAATCACGTAGAAGGGAAATCATAAAATAATAAAACAAATATAATAAAATATTATTTCCCTTCTACGTGACTTTACCGAAAGAACCAAGAAGATGAATCCCTGCAGTCACGAAATTTACCAGGCTTATCGTAGGGCCATTCGATCTTCTTCTTTACCTGTGTCGCTTTTGGGTGCATTCATTGTCATGCTAATTCCTCTGCCCCTGCAGACCCACCCCTCTCTATTTAAGGCATCGACACAGAGGCATTGGCTCTCTGTCTGTCTCTCTTTGCCTGTGTTTTTCTATCTCTCCCAGATTTAGTTCTACCTGCTGACGGGTGCTTGTGGTGCAATCGAAACGTCGTACTCCATTATTTAATTTATTTTCTTTCTACGTCGCTTTACCGAAAGAACCAAAGAAGAATTCCAGCTGTCACGAGGGCTTCAAATCAAGTTTGAACCACCTCTACGGGGAAGGATGTAAGTTGATTTCTCTCTCTCTGTGTGTCTCTTTCAAATTTCACACTTCAAGTTTAGCAATCTTTGGAGATCATAATCAACCAGGCTATGCGTTAACTGTGTGTCTCTCTCTGCTTGTGTGTCTCCGTGTCTGTGTTTTGTCTCTCTCAAATTTAGTTCTACCTGATGATGGGCGCTTTATATCGTTTGGTGTAAAACCCTCTTGGTCGCAGCTGAAATTGCAATCACTGTTACGTATGTTTTATAGCTTTTGTTTTGGTGATTTCGAAACGTTTTTTGGTTTAGAAATATTTGTTTGTTGTAGTATAGAGTTAGCTTTATATTCTTAGGTTTTTTCGATAAAGTAAAATAAAAGAAAAATCATGATTTTTATTTTATTTTACTTTTTAATGTTTTTACCTACGTGACTTTACCGAAAAAACCTAAGAATATGAATCATTGCAGTCACGAAAGCTTCAAATCTAGTTAGCTTTAATTTAAATTGTCTTATGGTTATTGTTTTACTTGCATCCCACTGGGATGTTTGCACACAGCGTTGATGTGCGGTGCTTTTATTTTATTTTACACGCTTTTATTTAACTCACTCCGTCTGATTTAAAGCTTTCGTCACTGCAGGGATTCATCTTCTTGGTTCTTTCGGTAAAGTCACGTAGAAGGGAAATAATAAAATAACATTCAGACAATGTCTTTCCGACAGACCTGTTCTTCACCTGAGGATGGCTGCTTGCGTTGTGGCCGAAACGTCGTGAAAATTATTTTATTATGTTTTATTTTTATTATGTTATTATTTCCCTTCTACGTGACTTTACCGAAAGAACCAAGATCACTCCGTCTTGTATCCTCAAAAAGGAAAATCTTGTAACTCAATTTGTATCCACTTCCCAATGCGCTATCAACTGCAAACTTGAAATACCTACGTCATACTGGTGACAACACTATATTCTATCATAATCAATCCAAAACATATATTTTAAAACTTTTTACACGCTTTTATTTAACTTACTCTGTGTTGTCGTACCTTAAAATCTTGTAACTCAATTTCAACCGTCTTCCCAATGTCGTATCGACTGCAAACTTCGTAGAGGTACGTCATACTGATGACAATACTATATTCTATCATTAAAATAAAAAATATATCTTTTTTAAACAATCTTTTTGACGGCTATAATTGTCCACGCTCAACTCACGTTGCCTGTAAATCACCACGTGGTCCCTGACGTCACGGCAAGCCTTGGGGAGCCACGCCGAGGGGCGGGGGGTGTTGAAGGAGGGGGGCAGGGGGAGGGGCGAAGGGGGGAGGGGCGATGAGGGAAGGGGGGAGGGGCGAAGGGGGGAGGAGCGAAGGGGACAGGGGGAGGGGCGATGAGGGAAGGGGGGAGGGGCCAACTCGGACAGGAACATTTCATTAAAGCGTGGTTTATTTTTTTAAAGTATTTTTTTAAAAGTATTTTTTAATATTTTATTCTGTAAGACTTTGCTGGGGTTTTTTCACCTGGATTTTGCTGTTGTGCGTAGCCACTTTAAGATGTTTTCTTGTTCATGTTTTTTTATTTGTTGCGGTTGCACCCGATTCAAGAGCCACTTGGCTCACAGGGCTTTACCAAATAAATGAACTGAATTAAATTAAATAGCGGGGAGGCGCGCGTATAATTTCGCCGTCTGTTTTAACATTAGGTGGCGAGCGCTGTTCTTCTTTGCTTAGCGCTCTGGGCGTGCTAAATTTAGTTTTCTCAAACTATTTCTCTCTGCTTCTTGGTTCTTTCGGTAAAATCACGTAGAAGGGAAATCATAAAATAATAAAACATAATATAATAAAATATTATTTCCCTTCTACGTGACTTTACCGAAAGAACCAAGAAGATGAATCCCTGCAGTCACGAAATTTACCAGGCTTATCGTAGGGCCATTCGATCTTCTTCTTTACCTGTGTCGCTTTTGGGTGCATTCATTGTCATGCTAATTCCTCTGCCCCTGCAGACCCACCCCTCTCTATTTAAGGCATCGACACAGAGGCATTGGCTCTCTGTGTGTCTCTCTTTGCCTGTGTTTTTCTATCTCTCCCAGATTTAGTTCTACCTGCTGACGGGTGCTTGTGGTGCAATCGAAACGTCGTACTCCATTATTGAATTTATTTTCTTTCTACGTCACTTTACCGAAAGAACCAAAGAATAATTCCAGCAGTCACGAGGGCTTCAAATCAAGTTTGAACCACCTCTACGGGGAAGGATGTAAGTTGATTTCTCTCTCTCTCTGTCTCTTTCAAATTTCACACTTCAAGTTTAGCAATCGTTGGAGATCGTAATCAACCAGGCTATGCGTTAACTGTGTGTCTCCGTGTCTGTGTTTTGTCTCTCTCTCAAATTTTGTTCTACCCGATGATGGGTGCTTGTGTTGCAATCGAAACGTTTTACTTTATTATTTGTTTTATTTCTACGTGGCTTTACCGAAAGAACCAAGGAGTAATTCCTGCAGTCACGAAAGCTTCAAATCAGTGTGGTCCATGGGGGAGGGAGGATGGATGCAAGGCCTGACTCAAACCATAGACTGGCAGTGCTCAGATAATTCCCTTTGTGGTCATCGGAAGACTGCGATTCTGATCTCGCACTTTGTCACCACACCCGTGTGTGTATGTCACTGTGTGTGTGTGTATTGCTGGGGAGCGATAGTGTAGCGGTTAGCGCGCTGCGCTATGAACCTGGCGACCCGGGTTCGATTCCTGCTCACGGCCATCACCAGTGACGATTATCTGAACCTGTTCTGGGCTTCCCCTAGGTCGACTCGGCTTCAAATGAGTACCTGGTGTGGTGCGTAAAAACATCGCCAGTAGGGAGACAAAGGCGGCTGGGCGTGGTGCTGGCCACCCACCCCCTCGTGTGCCGTATCGGCCTTTATAGGTGCTCGCTAACAGCACTTGCCCCAACAGTCTGTTAAGGCTATACGGGGGATCTTTGGCTCTTTGTATTGCTGCTGCTCTATGGGTGCTCACGTGTTGTGTTTACGGCAGTCGGCTTCTGCTCGGACATTGTATGGGGGATGAGTGCAGTTTAGAACACGGTCCACATTTTAAGCAAAAGGCTCCACATCTTTGCAAGTACAAACTCTGTATGCCAATCACAGTGTCATAGTTTACCCATTCTTATTTACACTTCTAAGCCAAAAGTCTCATTTTGTGCATGACGGGGAAAAGCTTACAATGGGGTGCGTCTAAATTTTGATTTAAAGCTTTCGTGACTGCAGGGATTCATATTCTTGGTTCTTTCGGTAAAGTCACGTAGAAGGGAAATAATAAAATATTTGTTTCATATTTATTTTATTATTTCCCTTGGGGTGCGTCTACTTTGGCGAGCCGCTCGATGGCATCCTGAGATGCAAAGTGACGAAATGAAGTGCCTCCCACAAAAGATCTCGGTGGGCAGCTTGATGGGATATGTTTCGTCGTCTGGGACTCACGGCCACGCCCGCACTTGGGGTCACATGACTCACATCCCTCACCTTCTGCTCGTGAAGCTGGTGGCTCTTGTTGTTTCGCCGATTTCGGTTTGAGTGCCGTCCGCGTTCTTCGGGGAGAGGTCCATCTCCGGGACCTTTGCTGCTGAGTCAGTCGGTTCTTTGCCCCACGCGTCCCACGATATCGTCTCATCTGTAGAGTGGGTTGGTGCCCCGCTGCAGGGCTATTGGCTGCCGTTTCCCAGAATGGCCAGCGTGATTTTAAGCGCTTTCAGAAGGGCAATGGGGCAGTAGCTTGCGATATTGTTGGCTGGTCTCCCTGGCTTTGAGGATGGCAACGATTTTGGAGTGGGGTACCACACTTCTGGGATTATCCCTCAGTGTCAATGATGTTGGAGGCAAAGTTGGCAAGCTACATCCGTCCTTTTGTGTCCAGGTTCTCGATTAATTCTGGGTCGATGCCGCAAAACCCGGCGTTGAACCCCCAAGCCCCTTTTTGCCAAGAGGCACAAAGGTTACCACTGCGCCTGCAAATCGGGTGACAAATGCAAATCCTCATTGTTTGTCTTGTGTGTGTGTGTGCTGAAGACGGACCCTCTGAGTTGTGCAGTGCAGGAACGCGTTCGCCATCCTTGGAGGCTGTCACCATGTCGCGGGACCTTGGAGAAACGCACCCCCTGCCAAGCATGACGGATGTGGACCCTGACGCGCTTTTTCGGTGTCCCTACGACCCCAGCCACATGATATGCGCGAAGCGCTACACGTATCACGTGGCCAAGTGTAGCCTGGTAAGGACACCCAGCGAGAAGTAGAGCGTCGTGATGATGATGGTGATGATGGTGATGATGGTGATGATGGTGATGGTGGTGATGATGGTGATGGTGATGATGGTGATGGTGATGATGGTGATGATGATGGTGATGATGGTGATGGTGGTGATGATGGTGATGAGCATCGTGATGATGGTGATGATGGTGATGATGGTGATGATGGTGATGGTGGTGATGGTGATGATGGTGATGATGGTGATGATGATGGTGATGATGGTGATGGTGGTGATGATGGTGATGATGGTGATGAGCGTCGTGATGATGGTGATGATGGTGATGATGGTGATGGTGATGATGGTGATGATGGTGATGATGGTGATGATGGTGATGGTGATGATGGTGATGATGGTGATGGTGGTGATGATGGTGATGATGATGGTGATGATGGTGATGGTGGTGATGATGGTGATGATGATGATGATGGTGATGATGGTGATGATGGTGATGATGATGATGGTGGTGATGATGGTGGTGATGATGGTGATGATGGTGATGATTATGGTGATGATGGTGATGATGGTGATGATGGTGATGATGATGATGATGGTGATGATGGTGATGATGGTGATGATGATGATGGTGGTGATGATGGTGATGAGCGTCGTGATGATGGTGATGATGGTGATGATGATGATGGTGTGATGATGGTGATGGTGGTGATGATGGTGATGATGATGGTGATGATGGTGATGATGGTGATGATGGTGATGATGGTGATGATGGTGATGGTGGTGATGATGGTGATGAGCGTCGTGATGATGGTGATGATGGTGATGATGATGGTGATGATGGTGATGATGATGATGATGATGGTGATGATGGTGATGATGATGGTGATGATGATGGTGATGATGATGGTGATGAGCGTCGTGATGATGGTGATGATGGTGATGATGATGATGGTGGTGATGATGGTGATGGTGGTGATGATGGTGATGATGGTGATGATGGTGATGATGGTGATGGTGGCACCGAATGATATCCGAGTCGGCTCTGAGGTCCTGAACCCACGCTTAACCAGTGTGGTGCGGTATGGTGAAATAACCCCCTCGATTAGTGTACCGCTATACGAACGCGGTAACCCCAGTTTGATTACCGGCCACGATTAACATCGGCGGTGATATCTGTACCAGTTCTGGGCCTCCCTTAGGTCGACTCGGCCTCAAACGAGCACATGGATGTGGTGCGTAAACGTCGGGAAACTAAGGCGGCTGGGTGTGCGTTCCTGGGCCTAGCCACCACTCGGTGTGCCATGTCGGCCTTGGTAGATAATCTTGATTTGTTTTTGATGTAGCGCGCATCACGCCGGGGTGTCTCGGAACGCTTGACGCGCGATAAGTGACTTGCATCTCGACACATTTGAAAGGGCGCATCCCCCAGTGGCACCTGTCCCTGCGCGCGGCACAAGGCGACTTGGGAACTTGGCCTGCAATCGGGCATTAGTCTGTCAGTCTCGGGGGGGTCATGCTTGTTGCTGCTGTGTGTGATGTCGATGAGTAATGCCACCGCCCCACGATAAAAGCCGATTTGAAACCAAACATTTCGATTTAAAGCTTTCGTGACTGCAGGGATTCATTTTCTTGGTTCTTTCGGTAAAGTCACGTAGAAGGGAAATAGGAAAATAATAAAAATAAAATATTTAACAAAATGTTTTATATTTATTATTTCATTATTTCCCTTCTACATGACTTTACCGAAAGAACCAAGAAGATGAAACCAAAAAGTTTTTCAAATGAGGCATGATCTCACGAACTAATATGTGTAGGAGTTTTGTCAAATTGCACGGCCGAGTCGTAGCACGTTTGCTGGTTTTCGCAGAGCTGCATGGGTTCAGGTCCCACAGCCGCCCTGGTTCATGCCAAGGGTATATGAACCATTAAAAATATGCATCGACCACTTTACAGTGGGAGGGGTGGGGGGGAAGGATCCCATCACATGATTTGGAAAAGGAAAATGTAGACAATGTACTGCACCGTCACTGTCCAAATTTAAGGTAACAAAAAAAATTCCCCCCCAAAATTGCACAACATAGCGGGACTCTTCCTGAAAAACGTTTGGCACTCTGTTAACGACGTTCTTCTTGGGTGAATAAGCGTACGTGTAAATCACCGAGAGTGCGACCCCCCCCCCCCCCCCCCCCTTTCAGACACACAAGAAGGTGGCGCAGAACATGCAGCACGTGTCCATTCAATGCACGCCACCGGATACTGAGGAGAAACATGGCCGAGCATCTGGCACAGTGCCCCGACCGGACGGTCGGCCAGACCGAGGTGACGCAAGGTCAGTAATGCCGCCTCGCACGCTCGCAAGCCGGCGTGGCGCAGCGCACACGCGCGCGGTCTCGGGTAATCGCCTCGTCAAGAGTTCCGTAGTTATGCGCTGCGGTTATCGCAGCGATGCGTTGTTGTTTTTGATGTCCGGCGACACGCCACGAGGCGAAGGCATTCCGATAGGGAAACTCTGCGCCATCATCTTGTGTCGGAGATCCAGACGACTTCGCAGAACTGCTGCCGAGGGTCCCATCATTTGGCACACGAGGTGTGGTGCCCCTTTTCACATTTCCTGCTATTTAGCCCCTAGCCGCCCCCCCGATTCGAGTGAGTTGACCAGTACCACCTGATCTTCTTGGTTCTTTCGGTAAAGTCACGTAGAAGGGAAGTAATAAAATAATAAAAATAAAACATTAAATAATTCTCACGACGTTTCGGCCACAACGCAAGCAGCCGTCCTCAGGCGAAAACTGTACCACCTGGTTGGTGGGTGGGGATAATGCCACCAGTCTGACACCATGGGTAGTATCCGCCACGGGCAGAAAGCTTCGTCGATATACCGTCTGGTTCGTCCAGCTTGTATCTCTGTCGGTTTTACAAACAACGCTTTCTACCACTCGGATACTCCGGAGATGTTTCGCGTCACGTTCAGTTTTTAGTTGTTGTTTTTTTCCCCCCCCTTTCCAAAATGGTGTTCCCGATCAAACGTATTGCAGGTGCCAAGACCAAATATGCTCAAAATGTTCCCCCCCAATATATTGCTATAAAATAGATTTCTGTTTATATGATTGTGGTTATGGTTGTACTTTATTAATCCCTAATCCCTGCCATTACATACAATGAAACAAGAAAAGGGAAAAAAAGAAATAACAGAGCAATTATTACAATACACTATTAGACATTATTGAAAAAAATTAAATAAAAAGTCCATCCTATGTGTTAGTGAATTTTTTTATATTTTCGGCAGGAAATTCGTTTTTAAATTTAGATTTTTTTTATTTGGGGGGGGGGGGGACCCCACACCCCCTGGAAGATTTGGTCCCCACCCAATGTTGACTCCATGGCTACAGCCTTTGCAGATGCCCTTCTTTCGCGGCGCCGTTTGTCTCTGGTGAACTTGCCGTCGTGCACATTTCAGATTTTAAATACTAAATTGTTTCCAGAAAGGTAATGTGAGAATTTTCTGCACCAAGCAGGTGCTCCCGATAAGCCACCTTTAGGTCAATGGTGTCAGGACAAATCACGAGGTGTTCATCAAACGGTAATGAGCCAAGATTATTCATCTTGAGTGACTTGACCAGAGGAATTACCCAGTTACACGAGAGGGCCCATTGTAATTACAGGTGGATTTGAACCCTAGAGTTCGAAACTATATTTTTTCTTTTACCAGGTAAGGCCCACTGATCTATTAGCTCTCTTTCAGACGCGACTGGCCACAAATGATGACTCAACGAAGTGGCTTATGTGGCCATTTATAGCAGCCAAATACTCTAAATGCACGTTGATTCTAAATGTAAGGAAAACATGCAAACTCCAGATATATATAGGCATCAGGGTCAGGATCGAACCCACGACCTCCTGCATACCAGTCGAGGGAGTTAACATCTCAACACCGTGTTTCACAGGGGCGGCAGCGTGCGGAGAGAGGAGATTTCCATTCTTCGGTACCGCAGAGCAGCGGGGAGGCTCGGCCATGCCTGGAGGATTGGGACGAAGGTGAAATGAGGAATACATATCATCACTGAATCGATGACACTGCCATCAATTTCGTGATTTTGTTTTGTGGAGAGCGGTTACATTCGATTCTTTGTTGCAGAGATGGAAAAAGATGGTGAGCAGCAGCCGTACATCTGGGGAATATCTGCCATGCCCCGCAGTAAAACCACAAGGTGCCCTGCACGTAAAAAAAAAAACACCCATATAAAGAATGCACACACAAACCGTTGTAAAACGTCAAGTCGTTGAGTACATTTCGCACGCGCGCTCTTCTTGTGGCATGAAGATGCCGTTTTCAGCGCCTGATGAGGCTGGTTGTAATTACCGGCGAAACGACGCACTCGAATTGTAACTGTTGTGGGTTTACTCTCCAATACACCGGTGCGCTGTACTCGAAACTAACTGGCATATTCTTTGGGTCTACATGACTTTACGGAAAGACCCAAAGAATATTAATTACTACAGTCGTGAAAGCTTTAAGTCAAGAACTAACTGGCATGTTTTGTTCACGTGACGAACCTTACTAATTGGCTGTGTCGGGTAGTGGCGAGTTTAACGACATTTATATTTACGCGATCTACCCAAAGCTAAAACAGTTTGTTTGAAATGCCGTCACTTTTTAAAACTGAACATTTTTTAAAGCAAAAAAATGTTTTTACATTTATTTTATCTGCACGTGTACATCTCCAAGTACTTTGCGATGAGTCCTCGACACGGGTGGCTGTGTCAGGTAGTGGCGAGTTTAACGACATTTATATTTATGCGATCTACCCAAAACTAAAACCGTTTGTTTGAAATGCCGTCACTTTTTAAAACTGGACATTTCTGAAAGCAAAAAAAAAAATCTACATTTATTTTATCTGCACGTGTACATCTCCAAGTACTTTGCGATGAGTCCTCGACACGGCTGGGGGGAATCGACGAGCGAAGTTCATGGGCGCAACTTAACCACGGTGAAGGCGTGACGCTTGATCTCTTTCGATGTCCCTTCTGTCCAGACCGCCACCGGACATGCCCGTCTTCGCCGTGCCCGACTATCTTCCGCCGATGTCCTCGTCACGTGGCCGTGGAGCCCGGAGAGGGTAAGCCTCCTCATCCCACGCACGGGAGATCAGCGCCCCGCACACCCGCTTGGGTCCACGTGGCCAATTGTCCCCCGGTTAGAACCACCGTATGCTAGGTGGCAGTTGTTCCTAAACCCGCGAGCTTTATCATGTGCCACTTTTGCCAGACCTGTCCACTGTGCCCATCCTCCTACCTGCATGCACCGAAAAAAAGTCTCTTTTCCAGTTCAAATGAGCAATTGAGGTATAGCGAATGGTTCATTATTGACCTCTAGTGGCGAGGAACGGTAAACCTCACTCGCTGGCCACGCGAGAAATGGCTTGTCGCCCGTTATCCAGATCAAGTCCATGGCCTCCAAGAACGCGTATTGGAAAGGGGGAGAGTTTGTTGGACATATATTCTACGTATATTGCTCGGCCTTGTACTTTGTCAAATCGTAAGCACATTGGCATTCGCGCTGTTCTCACAGAGTGGGCTACCGCAAAAACGCCGTGTTGCTCCAATTGGGTGATTTGCGAGTAATTTTTCTCCGCATGTAAACTTTGGACGTTGACGAATAACGTCACGGGGATCTCTGGCATACAGCCGTGAAGCAGACGGGGCACGTGCGTTTGGTGAATACAGCTGCAGCATTAACCAGGGCGGCCGCTGAGCTCGTACCACGAAGCTTTGCAACGAGCGGCAAACGCGCCACCGCACGGCCATGCGTCACCGCCCCCAGTGTCTATTGGTTTCTCGAGTTTGTATAGGTGGGATGCCTTCTTGCAATCGGTCAATATTGGTGTGCCAACGAGAGTAAGGGACCATCCATAAATGACGTCACGCACCTAGGAGGGAGGGGGGGGGGTCAGACATTTGTGACGGGGGGGGGGGTTATCTTCTTGGTTCTTTCGGTAAAGTCACGTAGAATGGAAATAATTAAATAATAATAAAACATTATAAAATAATTCTCACGACGTTTCGGCCACAACGCAAGCAGCCGTCCTCAGGTGAAGGCCAGGTCTGTCGGGGAGACAGCGTCTGACAGACCTGTTCTTCACCTGAGGATGGCTGCTTGCGTTGTGGCCGAAACGTCGTGAGAATTATTTTATAATGTTTTATTTTTATTATTTTATTATTTCCCTTCTACGTGACTTTACCGAAAGAACCAAGAAGATGAATCCCTGCAGTCACGAAAGCTTTAAATCGAGGGGGGGGGGGTTGAGAAATGTGACGTCACATCAAAATGCGCAACTTTAAATAAATATAGACAACACGTTCTACTTAATGAAATAGACTTTTTATTAATGTTTTCTCCTACAAAATCAGAGTGCAGCGCCACATTAAATACGCACTACAATGACAATAGTTTAAAGCGATTTGAAGCATGTTTTAATTTTGGGGGGGGGGGGGGGCAGAGCTTTGTGACGTCATATTTGAGGGGGATGTCTGACTTTTTGTGACGCCGTGTGACTAGCGGGGGATCAAAAATCGTCCAAAATCGCGTGACGTCATTTATGGACGGGGCCCCTAAGACACGTACATGGACACGTCCGGTGCTTTTGTTGTTGCAGGAACAACTCTGCCGCTGGACCCAGTGGCAGGCAGCTCGCCTCCACCCTGATGCCACGGGCTCCAAGCACAAGACTGTGAGTACCAGCAACTTCATGCGCTCGGCTGCTTTTGACAACATCACGGAGCTTTTAGTGGAGTGGCCGAGATACCGATCTAATGGTTCGAATCCACCTCCCCCCACTTTTCGATCCGTTCCGGCAATCGGAAAACGATGGTTGTGGAAATGGTTGTATTCATGTTCTGGATGGTTTTAAGAACCTGGTCACCGCGGATAGCTAATGTTTAAATGCTAAACACGGTCGGGGCTATAAACAATGATGGTAGCGGTAATATGTCGCCTAAAGTGCCGGGTAAAGTATTTCATCATTGCCGTAGCGAGGGCGGCATGGGGGCGGTGGTGGAGGGGACAAGTTTCCCCAGGGCGCCCCACCCACCAATAGCGATAATTCTACTCTGCGATAATTCGACTGTGCGATAATTCGACTGTGCGATAATTCGACTGTGCGATAATTCTACTTTGCGATAATTCTACTCTGCGATAATTCGACTGTGCAATAATTCGACTGTGCGATAATTCTACTCTGCAATAATTCTACTCTGCGATAATTCGACTGTGCGATAATTCGACTGTGCGATAATTCTACTTTGCGATAATTCGACTGTGCGATAATTCGAC